TTTCCAATTCCTTTCAAATTCTCAATTTATAACCATGGCTCAGAACCTGGCCAAACAAGTCATATGAGACAGTAACTCATATTAAACACTTTTCCATTACATAACAGATAAGCATACTAGCTATATCACACACCAACAGATAAGCATACAAGCTATATCATCACTTCCACAGATATGCATATGAGCACTATCACACTTCCAATGACAAGCATATGAGCTCTGTCAACACATTAATAGATAAGCATATGAGCTCTATCTATGGAGTCCATCCCCTATCTCCTCCCAACAACATCCGGTTTAGAGGTCCATCCCCTATCTTCCCCTAAACCGTGGAGTACATCCTCTATCTCCTCCAACACAACACAATGCATATAAACAATAATTATACACATCATCACACAGCACATAAATTTAATGTATTCTTTCAACCGTCATACTCAATGACACATTCTAGTGATTAGTTTCAGTTTGCCTAATCATCATGCATTGTCTACAACAATCAAGACTATCCTCCACCGATAGCCCAAAGCAGTTATTTCTATACAGAAAATAAATGCAACAATGGATATATAATCAACATTCCAACTAGGTGAGTGATAAATAATCCAACTACATCCTTTAATCCCACAACTTTCCAAATCAATTCCTCATTTCTCATAATTAATCATGCGAATTAATTAACCAATGTAATTAGGGCATTTTCCATAATTAACATTACAACCCTTAAAGTTCCGTTTTCATTAATGTTTTAACATTAATTTCACTTTTCCATGCCAAACATGCATCTAGACTTTATATAGCTAAAACCCCAACTTTTGTAAAATTACACAAAGGCCCCAAACTTTCACAAAATTACCAAACCAACCCCAACATCTCAAAATACTAAAATTTAAAGACAAAATCCATAGAGAGGAGTAGGATATCCCTACCTCAAAGTTTGAGCTCCAATGGAGATGAAGACCAAAACCAAAATGCTTCAAATTCTGAAATTTTCAGATTAAAATGTAGCCCTCGACGATCAACACAACTTTCGTAAAGACCAAAAGTGAGCAAACAACTCCTACTAGATCAAATCTAAGAGAGAAGGGCCGGTTTTAGAGTGAGAAGCTCTGAAAATGGCTTTTTGGAAAAGTAAGAGAGAGAAAAGATCTTGAAAAAGTGATCCAAAAGTCGGATCTCAGATTTATATAAAAGTCTCCGCGCTCGAGCGTCCAAACCCCCGCTCGAGCGTCACTCACAGACTCCCGCTCGAGCGGCCAATCCCCCGCTCGAGCGGTGGATACACACTCCCAGAACTTTTATAGAACCAGGTCTCCGCTCGAGCGTCAACCCTCCCCGCTCGAGCGCCAAGACACAAGAATAAAGCATTTCCGCTCGAGCGCGAAAACCAGTCCGCTCGAGCGTAGATTTCCCCCTCCCAGAACTTATACTCTGGAAGTACTACCCGCTCGAACACCAACCGACCCGCTCGAGCGTCACCACTTGAGCGTAAAAATCACATCTGCAGAAGTTTTGCAGGAACATGAAATACTGGAGGTATGCAATCCCCGCTCGAGCGCAAGAAGACCCGCTCGAGCGAATCGCCTAAAAACTGAACAACAAGGAATTGAAACCAAGGCCTAACCAACCTGTAACAACCCTGCTCAAAACATCCTAAAACTCAATCAAGTGGAATTAAAGGACGACAATAAGATAGATACCACTACCAACTTCACGGAACCGAGTCCGGAATACAACCGAACAGTAAAGGGACAACCGGGATCGCTATAGTTCTGCTTATTCGGAATCCTTTAGATTCAAGAGTTTTTCTCAAAATCTCCAATTTTGTATTAACTCCTTTAATCTCATTCACTAGCACGATATCATCTGCAAAACAACATATACCACGGCACGTCATCCTGAATATTTCTCGTCAACATATCTATAACTAAAGCAAAAATATAAGGACTTAAGGTAAATTCTTGGTATAACCCTACAGTGATAGGAAATTCATTTTTCTCTCCAGTAGGCGATCTAATAGTGGTCACCACCCCTTCATACATATCTCTAATCACATCAATGTAACATTTTGTCACCTCTTTCTTCTCTAACACTCACCATATTAATTCTACATATACTAAGAATCTAATTTAAAATCTTACCAAAAAAATGTGATTGGTTGAAAAAAAATATTAATATTTAAACATATAATGATATTTGGACATGAATGCTTTTAGTAATATTTTAAATAGATATAGTATTTCTCTTCTAATATTACTATAGATTATTTCCATAAAAAATTTTGACCAAAAATTTTTTTAATATGAATAATTCTACATATACTAAGAATCTAATTTAAAATCTTACCAAAAAAATGTGATTGGTTGAAAAAAATATATTAATATTTAAAAATATAATGATATTTGGACATGAATACTTTTAGTAATATTTTAAATAGATATAGTATTTCTCTTCTAATATTACTATAGATTATTTTCATAAAAAATTTTGACCAATTAATGACAAGGCATGTTAGAACTAATCTCATATCCTCAACTATAGGAGAGGAAACTTAGTTCGTGGGCCTAGACTATTATATTAGTGTTGGCCCCAACTGGCCAAATAAAAAGGGGGAACTTACTGATAAGTTCCATGTATCAAGTTTAAAATTCAGCTAATTTCAAAACAAAATACTTGCACCAATTAGTCCAATATATTTTTAATTGTTACCAAAAAATTTTTTTTTTTTTTTTTAATTTACAGACACTGTTCACATCTTACTACCGTAGGACTTCCGTCAAACGGTCGCCGGAGACTCGTCGGAATGTTCAACATCGCTGGGAAGTCGCCGGAGTATCACCGGGAAGTCGCCGGAGTTTCGCCGGAAGTTTGCCGGAGTGTTAAGAACGTTAATGGAAGTCGCCGGAATATTCAGAACGTTCACTGGACGTTAAGAATATCACTGGAGACTCACTGGGATGTCTAGAATATTGCCGGAAAAAAAAAAAAGAATAAATGGATAAATTATAGCAAAAAAAACATAGCAAAATGTGTTAAATATTGATAAACTAAAAGGAAAAAAAACGAAACGACAAAAAATAGCAACAATGGGGAAAACATATGTTATTTTTCAATTTTTGTAAGGTTCAAGCAAATAATCTCTAAATAGTGATCAAACTGAAAAGTAAGTTTTGAAACTGTAAAATTTTACAGTTTCAAAACAAAAATCTATTAAGCATTTATCCTTATTAATCAAACTGAAAAACATGTTATGAAACTGTAAAATTTTACAGTTTTATACCATGATTCATTCCAGTACCAAAAAAATTTGAAACTGCAAAATTTTACAGTTTTCACCGCCTGTAACTAAAACTCGAAAACTACTTGTTCAGAATTCGAAAATTTTCTCTATTAGAACAGAAAAACAGAAGTGTATAGCAGAGGAAAAAAAAAAAGAGATCGAAGGAGAAAGGCGCATGTAGAGAGAAGATTGTACTCCGGCAACTATTTTTTGTTTAGATCTAGCCAAATCTGATGCAGATCTAGATCTAAGTACATCCACTCATCTTTTTCGTCGAAAATATATCATCTTCTTCATCGGAAATATATTATCTTCGTCGTCGGTGAGAGTGAAGTCACGAGTTGATTTCGATGGTTGGCGGTTATCGGTGAACCCCGATCAATGGAGAAAGACATGATCACCGGTCGTCGTCCATGACAAAGACGATGAGAGAAAAATGCAGAAAAAAAAAACGAGAGAGGAAGGGAAGCAAAAAACAGAGAAAGAGAGGAAAAAACTTTTGAGTGTACTCAAAAAATTATGGGATTAAATGGTGTCCACATATTCCACATGGGACCTGTGGGTAATTTCTCCAATAAAAAATGAAGACAAGTTTGAGTTCTCAAACTTAGCTTCTTTTTTTTTTTGAAATATTGATTAATCATACAAGCATCAAGCCGAACATCAAAATGGCACATCTCTTGCATTTAAATGATTGCAACCTTCAATAGTAACAGTCAAAGAACTTTTGAAACTTCAAGTCGAACATTAAAATGACGCATCTACCTTCAATAGTAACAGTCTAAGCCTGTGTTTGATAAGTGGGTTTGCAGGTTTTTTTGGTTATTTTAACCACAAAAAACAAAATAGGTTATTTTAGCCATAACAAACAAAATATCACATCCAACCCATAATCATTACATTCTTCTCTCACAAAAAAACTCAAAAAAGCTAAAAAAATCAAAAAACCCTTCCCAAACCAAGCTTTTAAGCCCAAGCTAAAATAGTCAAAAAAACCAAAAAGCCAAAAAGCCAACCCACTTCCCAAACGGAGGCTAAGAACTTTTGAAACTTCAAGTCAAACATTAAAATGACACATCTCTTGCTAGGAACCGAAGTGACTGGGCATTTAGCAAAAATAAAATTTTCAACTTTTTAATAAGCCTTCAACAATGAATTAAGTGTTTAAGTGTTTTTTTTTTTTTTTTTTCCTTTTGAAATTTGTAATGAGCTTAGAGAATATGTAGCTTTCAGAAATTAAGGCTAGGTTTGACATCTCTTAAAAAAGTTAAAAAAATCACTATCCTATTTAAATCAAATCATTTTATTTAAGTCACATTACCTCTCTACCAGATCACTTCAAACTCAACCCATATTTCATAAAAAATTAAAAAATACACTTTCTTAAAACATTCTAAACAACCCCTTAGACAAAGGAACTGGATAACTTTCAACGCTAACGAATGGCTTCAATCGACTGTTGTGTAGGGTTGGCCAAAGGAACTCTGTTTCATTTTTGCTCAGTGTCACATACATTTAGCTGACTGGTTGAAAATATTACGAGTTTCTACACTCCAAATGTGATTTCAACAAGAGATGATAAAGCCAAGAGTAAATAACTTAATTGGCTGTATTTTTATTTATTTTATTATTTTCAAAACGAAATAATGAAAAGTTTGAACAGTGCCATCGTTTTCATTTATTTATTTTTTCAATTTTGTACAAACACACGTATTAAAAATTCAAAAACAATTTTAATATCATGCATTGGATTATGATTATCACAGTCCCTTCTTAATACTTCCCTTTGCAATGCTGTGTTCCCAAACCACCTTGAAATTTCACATACAACATTTGCATAGCATGCAACAAACATAAAACCGCCCTTGGACCAGTGACAATGAAATTTCACAATGTGTGCAAGAACATAACAAAAAACTCATTAAAACACAACGCACAATGTTTATGATGATCTTAGAATAACATCAATAATGGACAATAAACAAAATAACGCAGTAGCAAAGTACACGAGCAGTCATTTAAATGACATTCAGCTACATATGGTCTACCCTGCCATCATCCTCGGTGATTCCATCCCCAGCATTCCTGCAACCGTGTCCAGAAATAGAGTTAGAGATCGAAGTCCAGAATAAAAAGCAAACATAATGATACTAAAGAGATCAGCTTAAGAAATCAAACTCAAGCTCAACCTCAAGCGAAGCTCATCCAATATTTGAGAAACTTGATTATATGAACGAACCGAATTCAAACTCCAGAGAGCTCGAACTTAAAAAATCATATCTAAATTAATATGCACACTACAATAAAAAAGAAAAGATTATGAGCGAATATAAAAGACTGATTACATTATTAATAAGTTTCATCAATGAAATATATGAATTTGCACAAACACCAAACATAAACAAAGAAATAAAATTAATTAATTAAAATATAGTATTAGAAATGTTATATTATTAAAAATACATATTAATTTATATATCCTTGTGTTTAGAAGCCTATTCAAGCCAATCTTGAGTCTACTCATGCTCGGCTCGATTACTAAAACTTAGGAATTGGCTTGAGTTCGTTCATTTGCCAAATGAGCCGAACTCAAATGAGCTTTAAATGAGCCAAACTCAAGTTGTTCATGAACTACTCAATTTGTTCGGAAAATGAGGTCGTTCATTTGGCAAATGAGCCAAACTCAATATATATATATATACAAACACAGACACAAAAGAAACAAATGTTACCAAAAAACACTAATACCCTACGGAATATATATATATATACAAACACACACAAAAGAAACCAATATTACCAAAAAACACTAATACCCTACTGAATTAGGTTTTGGAATGCACATTCCAAAACATTTTATACTTTCATTCAAAAATGGTAAATTTAGTGAACCGAAGTAATCCCAATTTTTTTTTTTTTTTCCAATACATTTCCTCAAGAGAAAAAATCAAATATAATGAACTAAAATTTAAGATGAGTAAAATTTTAAAAGCACAAAACGTAAAAAAACAAGTCATAATGCTCACATAAATGTTTTGATACATGATAAATTTTGAGAAGTGGAGAGGAGGGGGGGGGAGGGGGGAGACTGCATTATTTATTAGATAACTAATAGTTACAAGAAAATTATTCTAAAAATACCTTAAATTTTTATAATGTAATCTATACAAGTCAACCTTTATCATACAATATTTTAAAACATATAGTGCACCATGTTCTCGTCCCATGTACCAGAACGATCCACATTCCAAGTGACATAGCAACAAACAAAGATGAACAAAAAGCACAAAATGTTCTTAATTGAAGCCAATATTAGTGACAAATCTCAATGAATGTCAATCAAGATTGCTCATTCAAGTCATTTGTGAAGAGAGGGGGAGCAAATGTGGTTATTTTTTTAAATAGCAGACAGCATTTGCTACCATCAAGAAAGATTGGACCTACAAAGGGAAACAAGCACAAAAAGAGATCACTACCATTAAGTCCATCAGAAAAAAAAAATAAATAAATAAAAAATCATCTCCTCTTCTCTCCTGACCTTCTATTTGAACCACCTACTGAAAAAATAGACCATTTCCTAGGTTGGGTGAGTCTCACAATTCTCAATTTTGAAATATTACCTATTCCCTTAACTTCCTACCACTGCTCCTATTTAAGTCCCAACTCCAGTGAAAAGCAAATAGGAGAAACAGGCATGAAGGCTACCCAATAACCCTACTGTTAGCACCTTGATATTTGGGAGCTAGCAGCCTGACACTTGGTGGCACCTTGCACCTATGTCAGGCCTGAACCACAACCACAGCATGAGATAGGCATGCCAAGACAACAAGATGGGCAATCAGTTGTGTCGTTCGACGGTGGCATTCAACCCTTAGCCAAAGTACAGGCAACATGGCACATGCAAGGCATTAATATGACCTTAATGCTAGGCTGCAGCATACTTGGGGGTTTTAACATAATTAGACAGCTTGACTTGGCGAGACAGCAAGGCGTGGTGCACAACTTGGCTGGGTAGCAAGGCGGTTAGACTTGACCAAGGCCAACAGATGGCACTCCGAGCTCTGTTTGGCTAGTGGCTTGAGAAATTCGAAATTAACTAAGATAAGACAAAGGCTTCCTAAAATATAGGGGCAGTTGTGGACGATTATGCACAGAACCAGACATGTTGGCAAAGAACAAGGAAGGCTGAAATAAAGGAGCAGTCGGTGATAGTTATTTCTGTAGGCTTCTTTCAAATCTGTGCTAAACCCTTGGCAATTGGGGGTGTCAACTGCCATGCTAGATGGCATGTGTCCCTTATGTTTTGTAGCCTGTTTGAATTTCAAATGTTTTGATTATAGCCTATATATAGGCATGGCTATGCAAACTCGAATTCATCAAGTGTTTAAAAGTTTGGCATTTGGCTTTCCTTTGTAATTGTTGGTGCAATAATAAATGTTAGGTTTTCCCGTAATTGCTGTGTTGCTTGACTTGTATGCTTGACGATGACCTCACCAAGCCAATGATCAGCTGAAGCGTGAGAAGTTAAGTGCCATATTTGCTAAAGATGATAAGGCGGGATCTTACTCAGATGGCCCTACTCGAGTCAACCCCTTGCAATTGTTGAATGTAATTCATGCTGAGAGGACCCCCTTATCTGGTTTGATGTACATAAAGGTGGTGATGGATGGTATTGAAATGTTTGTAATGGTGGACACTAGTGCCACCCATAACTTTGTGTCTGAAAGGGTAGTGCAGCCCCTGAAGTTGAAGATTGTCTAGAATCCAAGCAGAATCAAGACTGTGCATTCTGCAACCCAACTGGTGCATGGGATGGCTCGGGATGTGAAGGTAACAGTGGGTGAATGGATTTGACAATTGAACCTGATGGCAATCCCATTAGATGACTTTGATGTCATTCTTGGGAACGACTTCTTTGTGGTTGCAAAAGTGGCATTGATGCCATATTTGGATGGGTTGTTGATTTTATATGAGAATCAACCTCGTTTTGTGTCGGGATCTACTCGACCAGACAAGAAAAGTGGGGCAAAGAAGAAGGATGATATGTTGTCAGCCGTGCAAGTGCTTAATGGGCTAAGGAAGGGCGAGGAGACATTCCTTGTAGCATTGATTGAAATCAAGCCTGACCTTACTATTGAAGTGCCGGATGCAGTGGCTGATGTCTTAGCAGAGTTCATTGATGTAATGCCTCTAGAGTTGCCTAAATCTCTCCCTCCTTAACGTGCCACTAATCACAATATCGAATTGATACCAGGTGCTAAGGCTCCTACTAAGGCATTCTACCGAATGTCGCCATTGGAACTTGCTAAACTAAGGAAGCAATTGACGGAGTTGTTGAAAGCCGGTTGAGATCAACCCTCCAAAGCCCCCTACGGTGCCCTAGTGCTGTTTCAAAAGAAGCAAGATGGGTCGTTGCAAATGTGCCTGGATTATCGGGCCCTGAACCAGGTGACTATCAAAAATAAGTACCCTGTCCCTTTGGTGGCTAATCTATTTGACTGTCTTAGCAAGGCCACTTTCTTCACAAAGTTGGACCTTCGCTCGAGTTACTGGCAAGTTCGGATTGCAGAAAAGGACGAGGCAAAGACCACTTAGGTAACCAAATATGGTTCTTTTGAATTTTTAGTAATGACTTTTGGCCATACCAATGCTCCTGCGACATTTTGTAATTTAATGAATGACGTCTTTAATGATTATGTTGATCGGTTTGTAGTTGTTTACTTGGATGATATTGTAATCTATAGTGAAACATTACAAGACCATTTGACCCATCTCAGAAAAGTATTCTCCCGACCACGGGAAAACCAACTCTTATGTAAAGAAAGAGAAATGTGAGTTTGCTCAAAAAGAAAATAAGTTTCTTGGGCATATTATTTGCCGAGGCCATGTCAAAATTGATGGAAAGAAGGTGCAGGCTATTACGGAATGGTCTCCACCCACCAATGTTGCGAAGTTGCCATCCTTCTTATTACTACAGAAAGTTTATTGAGGGGTATTCAAAGGAGGCTGATGCCTTCACTGATTTGCTGAAGAAAGATCACAAATGGCATTGGTCCGTTACTTGTCAAGAGGCCTTTGACAAATTGAAAGGTGCGGTGGCAAGTGAACCGGTCTTGTAACTGGCCAATTTTGAGTTGCCTTTCGAAGTGCACACGGATGCCTCAAACAAAGCGCTTGGAGGGGTATTGGTGCAGGAGGGACACCTTGTGGCCTTTGAAAGCAGAAAATTGAATGTTGTTGAGAAGAATTATTCGGCCCATGAGAAAGAAATGACGGTGATGATACATTGCCTTCTCACTTGGAGGGTTTATCTGTTAGGGACTAGATTTTTGGTTCTTACTGATAATGTGGCCAATACATTCTTCAAAACCCAGAAAAAATTCTCCAAGGCAAGCCTGTTGGCAGGAATTCCTTGAAGAACATGACTTTAAGTGGCGATACAAGTCTGGACGATACAACCTAGTCGCTGATGCCTTAAACCGAAAAGAGATGGTTGAATACATAGTTGCTATTTCCAACATTGAAACACAATTGCTGGAAATGATAAGCGATAGTGCTGCAATTGATTCAAGAGTATCAACAGTTGGTGTAGCAAGTAAAGGATGGTATTGTTCGTCAGTATTGGCTTGAAGATGGTCTTCTCCATAGTAAAGAAGATAGACTATATGTCTCTAGTGTTGGGGGACTGAGATTGGAACTTCTTAGAAAGACGCATGATCTGCAGTAGGCTGGTCATCCGAGACAGCTACGCATGATGGCACTCTTGTCTTGTTCATATGTTAGGCCAAAAATGGAAGATGATGTAGAGGCCTATGTCAAGACTTGTATGGTGTGCCAACTGTACAAGACAGAAACGACGAAGGCAGCTTGATTGTTACAACCATTGCCGGTCCCTGAGAAGCCTTGGGTTTCAGTGTCCATGGGCTTCCATCTCCGGGTTTCCTAAAATCAATGGGATGCGCTCCATCATGGTAGTTGTTGATCGTTTTTCTAAGTATGTTGTATTCATTCATGCTTTTCATGCTTGTCCCGCTGATATTGCTGCTAATTTGTTTTACAAGTATGTTGTAAAACACCTTGGCTTGCCTAAGGACATAATTAGTGATAGGGATACTCGATTTATGGGAAGATTTTGGACTGTGCTCTATAATTTGTTGGGTTCAGAATTAAAGTTCTTCACAACAAATCACCCTCAGACAGATGGCCAAACCGAGAGGATAAATGGGTTGCTAGCGGAGTATCTTCGACATTATGTGACCGCAAGTCAAAAGAATTGATCGAATTGCTGGATAGTGCACAGTTTTGTTACAATTTGTGTAGATCATCTGCAACCGGGATGAGTCCGTTCGAGTTGGCCATGGGGCAACAGCCCCTAACTCCTCACGAAGTGGCTAAAACAGGCTCTGGTGGTAGATGTCCAGCATACCGCTTTGCAAAAGCTAAACAGAAGTTGCTGGAGGAAACACAAGATAGTTTAGCTAAAGCAAGCAAAAGAATGAAGAAGTATGCGGACAAAGGGAGAAGACCCTTAGAGTTCAAAGTGGGAGATAGTGCTACTAAAGCTTACTCCTCAAATTTGGAAGAAGATTAGTAAGGCACCGTGGCCTAATTCCAAAATACGATGGCCCCTTTGAAATCTTAAAACGTGTGGGAAATGTTGCAAACAGGCTAGTGTTGCCTGATCGGTTGAAAATCCACCCAACTTTCCATGTCAGTTTTCTGAAACCTTTTCATGAGGATCAATCAAACTTGACAAGGACACAGGCTCAAAGGGCACCTCTAATGATCAGAAAGCAATTTGATAGAGAGGTAGAACGGATTCTTGATCACAAGACCGAGGGGTAGAGCAAAAAGAATCGAAGGACCCATTGCTTGGTGAAGTGAAAGGGTTCCCAAGAATCTAACGCAAGTTGGGAAAAAGATGTAACATTATGGCAATTTGAAAAAAAGTCGAAGAGTACTTAAAGACCCTACCAATGAGGACGTTGGTTTTTTCTGGTGGGGGTGGTTTGTTAACACCTTGATATTTGGAAGCTGGCGGCCTAACACTTGGCGGCACCTTGCACCTATGTCAGGCCTGGATCGCAGCATGAGATAGGCATGCCAAGACAACAAGATGGGCAATTAGTTGTGTCGTTCAACAGCGGCATTCAACCCTTAGCCAAAGTATAGGCAGCATGGCACATGCAAGGCATTAATATGACCTTAATGCTCGGCTGCAGCATACATGGGGGTTTTAACATAATCAGACAGCTTGACTTGGCAAGACAGCAAGGCGTGGTGCACAACTTGGTTAGGTAGCAAGGCGGTTAGACTTGACCAAGGCCAACAAATGGCACTCCAAACTCTGATTGGCTAGTCGCTTGAGAAATTCGAAATTGACTAAGACAAGACAAAGGCTTCCTAAAATATAAGGGTAGTTGTGGACGGTTATGCACAGAACCAAACATGCTGGAAAGGAACAAGGAAGGCTGAAATAAAGGAGCAGTTGGCGACAGTTATTTCTGTAGGCTAGTTTCAAATCTTTGTTAACCCCTTGGCAGTTGGGGGTGTCACTGCCATGCCAGATGGCACGTGTCCCTATGTTTTGTAGCTTGTTTGAATTTCAAATGTTCTGATTATAACCTATATATAGACATGGCCATGCAAACTCAAATTTACAAAGTGTTTGAGAGTTTGGCATTTGGCTTTCCTTCATAATTGTTGGTACAATATTAAAAGTTAGGTTTTCCTGTAATTGTTGTGTTGCTTGACTTGTATGCTTGACGAAATTTAACTTGTGTGTGTGAGTTGCATACATTGGCTGACAAAAATGTTGGGACTTAGTGCCATCACAGGAGAATTTTATAGACTGAAAATTAGCCCTGTGACACTTGCCATGCTAGAATCCAATCCCACATGGATGAAACCTTGTTGGAGTATCTATACAGATGAGACTAGAAGAAAAAATTAAAAAATTAATGTGTGGATACCTTTTAGAGCGACAAACTAGGACAAAGATTTGACTGTATTAGGACCTTTAGAAGACAATCTTTTAGGCAAACTGGAAAATCAGAGAGAAGGCATAGAGACAAATGGCTCCAGGAATTATTTTGGGTCTAAAAAAATGAATTTTTGATTCTAAAGACAAGAAGAACCCAACAAATACACCAGTGAGATATGAAATAAATTTTCTACATTTATCATTGAAGCATATTGCTGTGTGCTTTTTCAAAGAGACCAAACAGGCCAACGTTTTCATTGTACATAAATAGTATAGGTTTTAGGTATGTGAGGTGGACAGTTGTTGAGACCTTTGAGAAGAGGCGGGCACTACAATCGCTAAGGATCGCTTGAATGTGGCGAACGAGAAGACCAAGGCAACCTTAGAGATAGAAAGGGTTTAGAGTTATGTATGATTGTCGTGTATTAAGTTATGTTTATTTGACTATGTGCATGGATACCCTTTTATAAGCTCCTGAAGTATTAGAGCCCAATCACCTATGGACAGTGGCAACTTCTCCTTGACGCGACAGAGTGATGGTATCAAGCCTATCATTGTGTCCTATGATTCAGATCTCTACAAGGTTGCATCATAGGAGCTGCAGAGATAGGTATGATACCTCGGGAGGTGTATTGTGGCGTGCAACAAACATGAGTGTTTGTTAGGTCAACATCCTCTCTCTAACATTGGCTAAGGAGCTATCTTCCTAGGAAGACAACCAAAAAAACTTGATGAACCCGTAATCCTAGCTGTCGATCCACAATCCTCTAATGAAAGTCACCCCCACTCCCCTCCCAAAAATAAAAACAGGTTCTCTCACATCATAAGCACCGCAAAAGACAAAGTGGAGTAGGACGCATTCTAATAACTTCCCCTCAGACTTCTTTTGCCTCAAGAGAAACACCCTCAGGTTATCATCCACTCCATACCAAAAACCGAAAACACCATACTCCATCAAGAATTTGCCCCTCAAATTATTTGTCATCAGAAAAGCTTCACAAGTTGCTACACAAGCCAAGAAAACCACCTTGGGGGGGCCTTCAAACACCAAATCCCCTTCCAATGAAAGTCAACATCTCCCTTCCAACCAACTTCCTATAGAAGGAGACATTGAAAACAAGCTACTTGTAGCTCCTGTCCAAATTAAAACATCTTCTGTCTCTACTTTTTTTTTTTTTTTTTTTTTGGACATTGAAAACAAGCTACTTGTAGCTCCTGTCCAAATTAAAACATCTTCTGTCTTTACTTTTTTTTTTTTTTTTTTTGTGGATAAATATGTTCTATCCCCTACTTGGACCAACAAATCCTAAAGCATCCCAAGGAAAATCCCAATAGACCTAGGTAACCAATTCATCGAGCGGGAGCAAGAATATCCCTTGTGAAATTACATTGAAAGCAGGAACACCTTTAGAGCGTGCATATACATATATTTAAATAAACAATACAAATGTTTATTTAAATTTAATTTCAATATTTTTATTGATTTGACCAACGAAATGGCCTTTGATAGAGCCGCGTGGAGAAGAAGAATTCATGTAACCGACCCCATTTGATGAGACTTAAAGGCTTGGTTTGGTTTGGTTTGGTATTTGTGTGTTTGGGAAGGAAAAATTGAATACACACATTAATGTGTACTAATTGAGCGTTGATTTTATTTTTATTTTTATTGATTTGTGTTGCTTGTAAACAATACTAATAGACATTGGATAAATAACATATACTTCCACAAATTACAACAAATGTCGTGACACTCTAATGGTAAAATCTTGCTAACTATGAGCAACAGGACATGCACTCAAAACATTTCTCTTAGCATTTTTTGATTTGTCTTCATACTCATGTCATCATATGCCTGCCATATGATGGCTAATCATTTTCATACTTGTGCTATCATGTCATATGCCTACCACATGACAGCTAATCATTATTCAAAGTGTAATTCATCTTAAATTCGCAAATTTGACCAAATGAAAGTTCATATTTGACCCAATTTCATCCACAATACGTGGATTCACGCATCAGAGCACACTAACTTGCACAAATTAGGTTACTATGTGATAGACTCTACCTCCCAATCTCAAAATGCCCTCCGGAATCCAAAGAAGATGAAGTCCAATACCCCCACCAACAAGCCCTACAGATTAGACGACATCTTAAAAAGATCTAGAAAAATCTCTCAAAGGCCTCTATCCACACTAAGAGTCATACAAAAATTGAACTCTACACCCATCACCCATCCTAAGCATATTTAAGAGGAAAGCAATCATCTCTGACCCCCATAATCCTTTTACAAGCACCCCCATAATGCCTTCCTTAATATCAACTATTGAACAAGCAAATCACCACAACGCTTTTCGAAGGTTAAGCAAACCTCCTTCCAATCAATAAGGTGATGCTTAAACTCCTCTCCAAGGTCACCGCATAGAAAATCCTTCATCAATTTCTCTAGCCTCTTTGCCACCAATTTGGGTATAACAAAGATGAAAAGAAAATATATTGGCAATCTAGACGAAGAACGTATAGTTCATAAGAGGCCACTACAATGCAGGTTCAAACAGTGAGTGAATTGGCCAAGGATAGGAAGATAGCTACATATATAAATGTGAAAGTTCCAGTTCAAAAAAGAAAGTATCGTTGTCTTGCCGATTTCTCCACTCCAAACCACAAATCTAGAGCGATGATGTTGGACAGTCCCATTTCCCAAATTTACCCTTGCTAACAACCAAATGGAAACTAAAAGAAAATTTTGTTGCAAGGTTTGCAAAACAAACCTCCAAGAACTGGTAAGATTCCGAGCTTTTCTATCCAACTGAAGGTTTTCCAAAGCAGTTGACGCACGAGCTACATCCTCTGGTAGTTCATCGCTGTCATATCTCCAATTGTATTCGTCTCTCCTGTAGCTAGACATGGAGGATCCACCTCTCCTATCTGAATGCACAAAAACATCAGGTAAAGTATTTGGGAGCCAGATTAATTTGGATACAAAAATGCTGAAAAGTTTGACAACTTACCAGATGCTTGAGAAACAGGAACGGGCCTAAAATAAGCAAAGTTAAGCATATTAATTAAGAATTGAAAAGAAAATGAAAGAAACAGAAAAAGAAAATAACAATTAAGTTGATCAAGCACCTTCCAAGTGGAGGTAAGCCACCAGCAACAGATGATGACGAAGGTCTTCTCATGTTCCGTGCTTCTAAATTGGTCAAAGACTCAGATTCTGGAGTATATCTCCTTCCAGTACCCCTTGCTTGGGACAAATTCTGTAAAATAAAAACTACTTATAAATAAGAATATTGATTCAGACCTGTGATTAAAAAGTTGACTATGATAACATAACACAAAAGATCATGGTACCAAATATGCATTCATAAATATCTTAATGGATCCAGCTTGCTAGAGTAAAAACATGATATTATATTCCTTGACCATTAGAAGTTAGAACCAAGCAAACAACTATTTATGCCACTCACTCAAACAAAGCATCATTTACAAGTATGAAAAGTTGGAAGCATGAGTTTTTTTCCTTCTTCTTCCACAAGCATTCAACAAAAACTAGGATCAGATGTACTGCCAAATTATATGTCACAAATAAAAATAACCATTCATCCTCTGATTTATTTATGTATGTGTAAATATTAAAAATCTACCAGAAACAAACATATAAAAAAACCATCATCCAAAGTTAGTCTGGACCAGTGCAAGGTGCTGGTAACGGGTTAAAGACCAATGATTCATTACCTTCTGACTCCACCCACAATATGTTACTGTTACACAACTTTCCAGCATTTTTAACACCTGTAGGTTATATCTCCTGCGGATCTTCATGAGTGTCCAACAAAATATTTTTCTTCCCATTCACCAGTCACCTCCTCCAACTCTTTCTTGAGCTGTCAAGCAGCATAGAAGCACTACACAACAGTACAATCACTACTCCTACACCACTATTCCTTACTACACTAGGTATTTATGTAATCATTCCATAGATAATTATTCTAAATATTCCAATCATATAAAATTCCAAGTTCACTATTTTCTGATGAATGAAAAGGCAAAGTTTTTTTGGTAAGTAAAAAAGGCAAAGATATTTTCAACCATAATCTGAAGAAATCATGCAGCGCTGTAGCATTTTCTTAAACAATGAAATGAAGGATGGGTAAATGTTAAATAAAAGTTTGGAGAGAGGCTCTAGAAGGTCTAAAATAAGTAGGAGAACAGTGAATGTGTGGAATGTAACTTCAATAAATGTAAAAATACAAATTGGGCAGTAATGAAGCTCAAAAGCTAAGATATACCCAAGAGAAAATAATATCACCAGATGAGCCTCGCCAAATTAGAAGATGAATGGGCCAACACTGTACAACTTATGGCTTTAATAGAGAAAAGTTAATATCCAGAACGCGAGTAAATACCAAACCTCATACTTCAAGAATCCTTCAAGAACATCCAAAAGCAAAGGAGCGCTATCTCCATTCCTATTAAGATCATATCCATTCTTGCTACTAAATTCTTTTAACTCAGCTTTCCAAAAATCCTTTTGCTGCAATTACAGTTAAAAAGAATACAAATTCATTACTAGAAAAAGATAAAGGTGACCAAAACACTTCAAAAAGGATTATTCTGTAAAGAAATTAGAAATACTATTGGCAAATACATGATTACCAAATTACATTCTGGCAAATAAACTTTTAGTGTGTGGCTCAGTTGTGCCCAGTCCAAGTATTCACTTATCAGCGCAGTCAGAAGCCTTCCTGCATTTAGCACGTAAAATTGCAAAGCAAGAGAGGTAAGACAGAATATAGATATGGATAAGTATAAAATATAAAATGTTTAAACTCTTTCAAAAACACAAAACACATGCCAATAGGTAGATAATTGTGGAATGAGATTTCCAATAATCAGATATATCCGTTATACCCAGTTAGATAGGCTTTAAAGAGAATGGTATGTGGCTGTGTGTTGATAGGGTATTGCAGCAGCCGAAAGTCCTTTCTGTTAAGGTAGGTAAGGTAGGGAGGCAAGCTCATTAAATCCTCTGGTTCTAAGCCCAAAGGACTGGAAATTTCAAATATGGAATTAACAATAGTCCCCTAGTTAATCTTCCTGTATATTAAGAAATTTTAACTGATTCCTATCCAAAACAGGTTAAAGTGGGGTCAAAACTTATATTACACGGACTCTAGTACAAGTGCGGGTGTGTATGTAGAGGTTAGACTCATCAAATCTCAAATTTAAGAATACGCGGACTAGGCAAAAAGGAGTCATATTTTCATATTTTTAATCTATTATGTAAGATAAAGTGGTACTATATGTAACATATAACGTCAAAAAAGTGTTCTATAGCAATTACACAACAAATGACACATATAAGATAGTGTTAAATACAAATAAATGAGAAATGTCCAATGAAAAATATCAGACACACATCCCACACCTTTGTCTAAGTGTCGGGTGTCCGACGCAAATCTTTGAAAAGTCCATGTAACATAGGTCAAAACTTTGCACCCTAAACCAGTGAAAAGATTTCTTTCTTTTTTTAGGTAGTAAATGAAACATCCATTTAAACCCTTAAATGTAAATACAAGGAGAAGAATTTTGAGTTGAGGATCGGTGGACCTCCCATTCCAAGGCATCGGAATAGATGTGTTAAGTTGAGTTTGGACGAATTAATTTTGGGAGAAAATTTGTCATCGAGTTGAGAACTTGATCCCAATACACCACCCAATATTAGCTTTTGAATATTTATCTAATGCCCACCCCTAAAGAATGATTTATTGCTGTACGTACTACTGACTAACCACTAAGTAATGTACAATAATCCAAAAAGAAACAGTATAAACATCATATCACCTATAAGGTGTTCTTATGACTCTAGATTCTAATTAATACTACAACTGGTAAAACCTGACATCGGACTAACAAACTTACCAACAATAGATGGCTTTTAATACAACATAATGCCCACCACAGTCAGACCACAAAATCCTAAGGACTGTCTTCTGTTTGTTTTCTAATTGGACATATGGCCTGCAATGAACAGGCACTGGTTTTTGTTTTTGCTTCCTCATTTTTTGGGGATGGGATGGCTCAGTTTTGAAGATTCAGTTCGGGCAGACCCCAAAAACAAAGACTAGATTGAGGTTAGCATTTCCTAACCCAATCATATACATGTCAAATATGTGTTCAGCTCCAGGACTTAACTCAACCGGCAAAAATTCAGCATATTACACTATATAAAGAAGAGATCAATGCTCCAATGGTCATACAAAAGACAACTTTCAGGAGCATAAGATAAATAAATTGTGAAAGTATTAACCCTATAAAATATAAACATCCAACAGCTTCAAAGTCATGATAAAAAATAATTAAAAAAATAGCAAATAAATAAAAGGAGAAATAATAGATTTGAAGAGGAACCTGAAGGTGAAGCATGAAGTTGTTTTGCACGGTCATTGCAACTACCCAATAGTGCAGGAGGCAAACCTTCTTCCTTTTCTATTGTCTTATCTTCTTCTTCAATTGCCTCAAAAACACTTGCTCTAAGTTCAGCCTAGAAATAATACATGTCAACCAAATATTAATGGAAATTTTTGCCCCCACAGGTTTGTGAGAAGCATGTGAACAGAATTATCATTTGATATCAAACAGATAGCTTTTAAATTCTAACATCAAGCAATTACATGAATGAACAAATTAAGGATGCTTTGTTTAAAGTTTGCTCACGCTGGCATTCCACTGAAACACACACAAAAGTCAATATATCTAGAATGCAAGTATGCAACCTTCTCTCTACATTCCTTCACAATGTAAACATCATTCCGAGCATCATAAAAAAATATACCATGATTTTCAATTAATATAGAAGCACTTGTTCTACACTCCCTCTCCACAAAAATGTGGCATCTAAAACTCAATGCAAGTACACAAAAAACCATCAATTTATGCTCTTAATAGCCAAAAAACAAAATTGGCCCCTAACAGTTTGCCATTTTTCGTTTTCTTGACAGCAGTCAACATAATTCACTACTCATCACATTATAATGTATGAGAAACAACTCTCACAAAGCCCTTCTTTTTCTTTACACCATTTCAAAAAAAAAAAACACAAAAATTCCTGGCATCTAAAGTGTGCTTTAACTGTAATTGTTGCCCTTCAACTATAACAAAATCAAACCTTATAAAAGAGTAAGAAACTACAAGAAAATACATACAGAACCCCAAATGACAGAAACACCAAATCAAATCCATAATTTTTATTTTTATTCTTTTGAAATTATATCCTCATACACATAAATCAACACCGAGATTCATCAATCCCTAGAGCCTCATTGTACCAAAAGAGTGGAATGTAAAAGAAGAGAGAGAGAAATGAAGGGAGGGCGTACTCGGATCTTGGCGAGAACGCCCTTCTTTTCTAGGGTTCGAGTGACGAGGGTCTTCAGGTCCATCATCTCCCGAGTGTAGTCGTCCATGTTGTTGTTGTTGTCGCTGCTGCTGCTTTTGCTTTGTTTCGCAGCTCACAAAAAAAAAATCTTTTTCTTTCTCTCAAGTCTGAGAAATCAAGATGGCGTTCGATACCTTCGTTTTGGTTGGTGTGTGTGAGAATGCGCGATGGAGAGATAGAGAGGGAGAGCGCCAAGGAGCGGAACCAGAAATGATGATGTGATTCCTGTACCAGCTGAGGGTAATAATCAAACCGATTTTACAATTCTACCCATTAATTCGAATTTTATTTTAAAAAATTATATTTAGTTTGTTTAGTGCTGGTTTAGGGTTGGTTTGGCATGTTCTAAAAAAGTACACTTTTTGACTTATTAGCTTAAATGGGTTGGGTTGGGTTTGGGTTGAATTTGATTTGATGTGTTAGAGAGGTGATGTAATTTAAATAAGATGATGTGACTTAAATAGGATAATGACTTTTTGACTTTTTGTATTATTTAGTTCATGCCAAACCAACCCTTAGTATCATCTAAAAAATATAAAAAATTAAAAAGTAAAAAAATTTATATTATTCATAATTTTTTTTTTTTGAAAAATGAGACTAGAAAATTAGGCCTAGTTTGGGAAGATTAAATAAGTGCACTTTTTGATTTTTATGAAATATGGGTTGGGTTTGGGTTAGGTTTGAAGTGATGTATTAGAGAGGTGATGTGACTTGAACAAGATGATGTGACTTAAATAAGAAAGTGACTTTTTGACTTTTTATCTTTTTTTAATCATGCCAAACTTGACCAAGATATTTTTACCCTCCAATGACAGCTCACGGCTGTTTAAGGAAAAAAAAAGAAATAGAAAAAGAAATAGTCAAACAATGCAAGTGCAGCTCAGTGCACTGTGAGAGAGCAGAAGTCACGAGTGACGGTGCTCAGTGCATTATCCGGAGGATAGGAATGTAATTTTTATATTTTATATAATATTTTAATATATATTTTTTTATAAGAAAGTTAAAAAATTATCCTAAATAATTATATTTTTTTCTCTACTTTTTTAATTAAAAAAATAAAAAAATACACTATTTATATATTTCATTCCAAACAACTTTTAAATTGTGATTAATATTTTATTTTTCGAATAATCAAATACAGTTGTGAGCAATTAAGTAAAGATGTCAACCCTCGGCTGTCTCACATTTGCGATGTTTTCAGAGGTCCGTGGGTGGTACTTTGTTTTATGTGAGACATTTGTACTGATCAACCACCAAGCATTTAAAAAAAATATAACACTCACATAAATAAATAAATAAAGAAAAGAAAAGTAGGGACAGGTGGCAAATCTTGATAATTGAAGGTACGAGGGGGTGGTGGTCATGGCCCCTCAAAAAAAAGGAATTCTCATATTTTATTATATTTAATAAACTAATTTTTCAAGTATGGGACTCTTTCCTGTAACCTCCTTGACTAATTATTTGATAAATGAATTCTTCAAGTTTAGTCTAAATGCTTAATTTCATATAACTCATTCCAAGGGTGAGAATTAAAAATTTTATTAAATATTTGTAAAAACATTTAACCTATCTCAAAAATTCCCTCTAACCAATTTTGATGGAAAAATAAAAAGAATAATGCTTGGGACCCCCTTTTGGGGGGTCACCCCCTCACTCCCCCTTTGCCACGTGGCAGGGGGTGATTGGTGGAGCAGGAAAAAAAAGAAAAAGAAAAAGAAAAAGAAAAGGTGACCAATGAGAGAGAGAGGGGGTCAAAGGGGGTGGTGGGAAAAGGGGGATGAATCATTACTCAAATAAAAAATGATCTCCAATCTTGTCTTTTAGCAATTTTGTCAAGCTTAAGTGAAAAAATGTTTGTTAAAAATTTGTTGAAAGATTTGGTTCATTCTTAATTTGATAATTTTTTTTTTTACTTTTCCGTTAATTTGATACAAGTTTAATAAAGATTAAAGTTCCTTTTTAAATTTAATAAATGATTTGATAAAGAATTAGAGATACTCTCAAATGTGCAAGTATATAACAAAATTAAATAAATATATATATATATATATATCCTAATCATTCTCTAGTTTCTCTGTCTATATATCAAAGACAAAAAAATGTATGACGAATGATTAATCAATATATAAATCATATAGTTTGAAAAAAAAAGGAAAACATAATCCCAAAAGTAACTTTAATTTTAGGGCAAAATAAATTTTTTTTTTCAAGATTTTGTGTATTTTTCAATTTAAATCCCAAGAATTAAAATCTTGATGTTACTTCTGTCTTACAATTTAGCCCATCCGTTCATCTTCGTCTCATTCAACTAACGGAAATCTGGACAAAAGTTTCAAATTCAAACTCACATGTTTAAATTATTGTATCTCCCTAGTCGTAATTCTGTTTCGTCTCATTTTCACGTCATTGGATTCATTTCATAGCCTAGTTTTCATTTCACCCCTCATACACCTTGTTCCACATCTTTCTGTGTGCTGTTGGAACTCTAAAATTTGGCCAAAAATAATTTTTTTCTTTTTTTCAAATTCAAACTCATATGTTCAAACCCTTGTATCTCTCTCGTCGTAATTTCATTTCACTTCATTTTTATGTCGTTAAATTCACCTCATGGCCTAGTTTTCATTCCACCCGTCATACAGCTTGTTCCACATCTTTTTGTATGCCATCGGAGCTTCAAAAGTTGACAAAAAATAAGATCTCTCTCTCTCTCTTAAGATTCAAATCCACATGTTAAAGACCTTGTATCTCCCTTGTTGTAACTCTGTTTTGCCTTATTTTTATGTCATTGGATTCACCTCATAGCCTAGGTGGAACAAGGTGTATAAGGGACAGAATGAAAAATTAGGCTATGAGGTGAATCCAATGACATAAAAATAAGGCAAAACAGAGTTACAACAAGGGAGATACAAGGTCTTTAACATGTGGATTTGAATCTTAAGAGAGAGAGAGAGATCTTATTTTTTGTCAACTTTTGAAGCTCCGATGGCATACAAAAAGATGTGGAACAAGCTGTATGACGGGTGGAATGAAAACTAGGCCATGAGGTGAATTTAACGACATAAAAATGAAGTGAAATGAAATTACGACGAGAGAGATACAAGGGTTTGAACATATGAGTTTGAATTTGAAAAAAAGAAAAAAATTATTTTTGGCCAAATTTTAGAGTTCCAACAGCACACAGAAAGATGTGGAACAAGGTGTATGAGGGGTGAAATGAAAACTAGGCTATGAAATGAATCCAATGACGTGAAAATGAGACGAAACAGAATTACGACTAGGGAGATACAATAATTTAAACATGTGAGTTTGAATTTGAAACTTTTGTCCAGATTTCCGTTAGTTGAATGAGACGAAGATGAACGGATGGGCTAAATTGTAAGACAGAAGTAACATCAAGATTTTAATTCTTGGGATTTAAATTGAAAAATACACAAAATCTTGAAAAAAAAAATTTATTTTGCCCTAAAATTAAAGTTACTTTTGGGATTATGTTTTCCTTTTTTTTTTCAAACTATATGATTTATATATTGATTAATCATTCGTCATACATTTTTTTGTCTTTGATATATAGACAGAGAAACTAGAGAATGTTTGGGAGATCGTGTTCATCAATCAAGCGATCTTTCCCCACATGAGTGTTTATCTCAATTCTTACCTTCTTTAACACTTCTGGATGGTTCACTAGAAGGGACATTGCCCATTCCATTGTCACTGATGATGTATCAGTGCTCGCGAATATCAGGATATGGACATTAAAAGTTAATAAATTAAACTGAAAAAGTAAATTATATTTTTACATAATCAGTACTATTTTTGTAGTAAAAGATATTTTGTTTTAAAGTGTCCGATCTCAATTCTATTACATTCTTTGTATGTAATTTATGTATATGTTTTAATAGTAAATTTTTGTGAATCGTTCCATTAGCTTTCGTTTGGCAAGTTTTAGTTCCAAGCTTTTTTTTAAAAAATTAAAATAGCCATTAAAAAATAAGATAGTTTTTTAATTTAATAAGACAAAATATTACATTTAATTTATAATTATTACATTTTTTTTTCATAAAAGTTAAAAAAGTCAAAAAATCCATCTCAAATGAGATTTTTTAATCCCAAACTGGGATGTTTGGCATCACCTACAAAAGCTAAAAAGCCAAAAAGTCCCTAAAAAAGCAAAAAAGTTCATATTATTCACCTTATTTTGGCGAGAAATCTGTCAGATCAAAAAAAAAAAAAAGAACAAAATAGTGCATACACAAATTCCCATAAAAAAAAAAAGACACAGTGTAAGCCACAAATTTCCATAAAAAATATATATATATATATATATTGAAATGCATGAAAAGTCAGCGCAATGTTGTTGAGTGTGATAGGAAGGGCAATTTGGTAATTTTGATATTTGCTATAATATTTTATTACACATATTTTCGTAAAAAGTCAAAAAGTTTTTCCTATCATACATCTTTTTTTCTTCTACTTTTTTAGTAAAAAAGTCAAAAAGTGCACTTATATAGATCATTTTAAACAACCACTTAATGCTTTTAATATGGATTATTAGAATGCAACTTGTGAAGCAAACATTGATGATCGTCGTAATGAGTGGTGTTCACCCTCCAAGATTAAATAGTTTTTCTTGTAGAATCCATGGAATAAATCCCCACCCTATTGAATGTGCTACTGATGCCTTTTGACTCACATAAGAATGAATATAATTGCAAAGGAAATTGGTGGACCGAGAGTTAACTTTGTTATTACTATTCTATCAATGTTGTGTCACCAATGATATAGTTGGAAGACTTTATATGAGGTGCCAAGAAATGAGTACTTTGATTTATTGGGAATTTAGTAGAATCATGACCATCATTTGTGATCAATCCTCAATTATTTGGGGACATGTGGGTTACTTAGAGATATGTAAATTATTAGAAGATATGTGGTTAATTAAATAAAAGTATCTGAGTTGTGTGATTGTTGACAATTGTACGTTGTGGTTAATACGTTTAATGTTATGAGGTTGACTTTGAGATATACTACATATTACTAAATAGCTTTTGATGACAATATGAACTGTAACAAATCATAATTTGGGTTATTAACCATTCAAAGAAGATGAGTTGAACTTTTGTGATGACAACATTGATGGGTAAGGAAGTTGCTTGAGGAAAAAGAAAGAGAGGAAAAGTAACGAACAGAGATATATGATTCGTTTTCCATGCAAGTAAACAAGTTTGGAGGACCAAACTTTCTAAAGGGGGGAAGACTATGATAACCCAACCCGTACTACGCTTAATTATGCATGTGTTTATGTGTTTGATATGAATTTGCAAGTTTAAGTATGTGAATTATGTGATTTTGGGTTTATATCTGTTGAATGTAGGAAAATCTGTTGCAATTGGAACTTTGAACTAAAAATTGTAAGCCTTAGAGGCGCGATAAACCAAATCGACTTTCCAAAGCTTGTTATAGATGTGGCGATATGAGCCATAAGGTAAGGGATTGTCCCCGAATCTAATAAAATGTGAATGGATCCGCTATCTTGTCCGGTTTTGTACCAATGGCAAGATTTGTTACGACGAGTGGAATTGCAAGCCAAAGTAAAGTAACTGCACTCGTCCTAAAAAACACTCAGAATACTGGGACCGTTGTTCCAGGTACCGTTACTATTCATGAAAGAATGCTTACATGTCGATTGATTAGGAACTCTTATATAGATGTACCTTGCTCAAAATGTTAATTGATTATGAATATATATATATATATATAGCTCTATACTTTTGTTCGGGATGATTGTTATAACACTGATTCCCACTTGTTTGAGCAAGTATGGTTATTATTTGGGTATGAACATGGAAATTGTGAAACCGTGTATACGTTTCTAATCTCAGTATGAGAAGGATATGAGTATGAACAAAATTTATGTGAATTGATGAGTAACTTTGCTTTCAATAATGAATGAGTGACTTATGTGAACATGAGTTTACGAACATCAGGGTTATATGATTTACGTGAACCTATATATATAACTTTGTTGTTGATGTATGTTTCTATATATATATATATATAAAAGGGTGGAAAGAAGGGGCAGACAAATTGAAGGAGTTTACCTCCTCTCGACTTGTTCGTAATTTTTCAAAATTTCACTAGAGGCTTTAAAAATCATGCTAATCATAGATATGAAGTTGGTTTTGGTTTATCGCGCCTCTAAGGCTTATAATTTTTAGTTCAAGATTCCAATTGCAACAAATTTTTCTACATTCAACAAATACAAACCTAAAATCATATAATTCCCATACTTAAACTTAAAAATTCATATCAAACACATAAACACATGTATAATTAAGCGAATTACCGGTTGGGTTATCACACTAACTTTCAATAAATATACTAAACGTGTTTGTATCTTGAAAAATTTAACAAGAGGTAACTACATATTTATCTTTGATTTCTTCCTATTGCTCGAACCTTTCTTTCTCTAATATATACATATATGGGAATAATTATTTTTTTGTGCTATTGTTTGGGGATTTAGTAATGGAGCATGGTGCATTGTTGAGGGTTGATGGAATTAAAAGGAAAGAAAATGGGAAAAGAGGGACAACATGTGGCAATGGTTGCTATTGGGGGGCACTGCAGGAAATTACATTTTTGGTGACTAAAAAAAATTTAGTCGCCAAAAGTTATAGAATTGGCGACCAAAAATTATATTAGTGGGCAAAAGTACAAGATTTAACTACTAATTTTTTTTAATTGGGGTATATTGATTATTGGCGACTAAAAAAAAATAGTCGCTAAAAATGTCACAATTGGCTACTAAAAAAATTTTTAGTCGCAAAATATGCAACAATTTTATTTTTTTATTTTTTTTGCAGCTGTAAAGTTAGTTTTGGCTACTAAAATTATTTAGTCTCCGAATGAAAAACAAAAAATTACTTTTTATCTTTGGCGACCAAAAGTTTGGTCGCCAAAAATTTATTTCTAGCGACTAAAACATATTTTAGTCGTTGTAGAGTTAGTTTTGACTACTAAAATTATTTAGTCATCGAATGAAAAACAAAAAATTACTTTTTATTGGTTGCCAAAAATTTATTTTCAGCGACTAAAACATATTTTAGTCGCTGTAGAGTTAGTTTTGGCTATTAAAATTATTTAGTCGTCGAATGAAAAACAAAAAATTACTTCTTATCTTTGGTGACCAAAAGTTGGTCGTCAAAAATTTGTTTTTAACAACTAAAACATACTTTAATTGCCAAAGAACTAAAATATTTGAATGGAGACATTTCAAAGTTTGGAGGGATTTGCAAAAATTAATTGACGACCAAACTGTTTAACAGTGAATTGTGTAAAATGATATATATATATATTTTGTTTCCAAATCAAACCCTAAAATAGCCAGCGCCTCTCTCTCTCTCTCTTTATTTTCAGCTTCTCTCACCATCTCCGTCTCCGCTGCTCCTCTTCCCTCCCTCTCTCACCGCCACTCTTTCTCGCGTTCGCCAGCAATAAGAGCACCTCCTCCTCCTCCGCCATCGCCATCGCCATCGCCATCGCCATCGCCATCGCCATCGCCATCGTGAGTACCGCCGATCTTTTCACGCCGCCGCCTCCTCCTCCTCCGCCGATCTTCACAGATCCACTGCCACGAGATCCAGAGGCTTCATCATTGAGATGAACTCTGCTCCATTGATGCTCCGTCTCGCGTATGCTTTCTCTCTCTCTCTCTCTCTCTCTTTCTCTCTCTCAAAATATTCAGAGGCTTCTTGTGGGGATCTTAAAGATCTGATTGGTCCTTTTGATTCTCCATATAAGGGAGATTGAAAATGGGGATTGTGTTTACTCGATTGTTCTCTTTGCTTTTTGGTAACAAACTCGTTCTTGGTCATGACAATGCTGGAAAAACCACAATTCTCTGTATGATTCTTTGATTTTTCCCTTACCCTTTTCTGATCTTGCATTTCTGTCAACTGGGTTCTCTCCAATTTTGATAATTGAGTAACTCGATTTCATTTTTTTGTGCAGATCGGCTTCAGATGGGTGAAGTTGTCTCCACAATTCCAAGTTGGTACTCTTTCTTGGTTTCTTTTTTGTTTGCATAATCTTTCTTTGTTTGCCAAGAAGATCAGGGGATTGGAGACCATCGGATTCATGATTTACAAATTGATAAAATTTTTAATTTAAAAATTATAGTGCTGATTTACTGCATTTTTTTTTTCAGAAGTGGAAAGTTTGATACTTCACTCTAAAGTGTCATATTTTCTTATTTTGGAACTTGTGGATTAATTTCTGTGTGTATATATTTGATGCAGCAATTGGGTTTAATGTGGAAACAGTTCAATATAGTCCATTCAGCAATGCTACACACACAGAAGACCAAACATAGAATCACACATAAAAACTATTTCATCATTGTCCTGTGGCCATCTTTTGGTTGATTTTCCCTATACCCATTTGGAGTTTTGCATATATTAATGGTGTCTTGTTCCTCTAGTGGTGGTGGGTATTTAGGTTCCGCAATTGGGATTGTGGGTTTGGAGCATAAGCAAAAACTGGACTTGAGGTTGGGTTTGGGTATTGTTTTTGATCTAGGTTTGATGAATATATTGTTTGCTGGTTCTTTTGGATGAAAAATATGTGTGAGGTTTATTAGGTCTTAACTTATGCTTGGCAAATGTTTGATGACATTTTTGATTGATGTGTTAGTTGGATGATACATATAAATGTATGAGGTATATCAAGATTCGAGTAGTTGTGTAAAAATGGTTAGATCATGTTGGAAAATCTCTTCTGTGGAGGGTGATGGAAGTCGCCGGGGCAGAGATGGAAGTCGTCATGGTGGAGATTCGAATGGTCGGGTTGATGGTTTGTTATGGTATAAGGATTTAGGACAACATGTAAATGGTGAATTTTCAATGGCGGTAATACAAGCCAATGGTTTGTTGGAGGATCAAAGCCAACTAGAATCAGGGCCATTGAGTTCGCTTGATTCAGGCCCTCGCGGGACATTTATTGGAGTTTACGATGGACATGGAGGACCGGAGACATCCCGTTTCGTAAATGAGAAGATGTTTCTCAACCTTAAGAGTACGTTCTCTTCTTATTTCCTTAGTTATTTGTTTAGTTTGGTTTTGATATGGTTTCACTAGTTCATGTAATGTTATTGACATTGAAGTTGTTAATTGTTGTTACTATAATGGATGAGCTGCCTATATTAGCTTGACAAACTATATCACAAAATTGTGATATTGAAAATACTATTTTGCATTTCATCTTGCATTGTTGATGAAACCTTCAAGGGGTTGATGGTAGTAAGAATTGGAGATAGAGAACTCTCAGAAAAAATTTATATTGATAAAGAGATCATAATGTAGGTTTGGATATATTCTGCTCCCAATCCTCTAATTGAGACAGAATATCAAATAACAAATCCTTGTATTGTCCCTGATGTCATATAACATTCCTAATCCTATACGGGAGCCAAAATGATACACATTTGAGGAAGAGAGCACAAAGAAATAGTAATTTAAGAGATAATATACCCTTTATAAAATTGACACTAGGACACGGGGCTAGATTAGTCATAGTTGTTGTTAGTTGTTACTCATGATGTTAACATGGATTTAGTTTTTTCTCCATTCATGATCTCAAGAAAATGCTTTCTTTCTGACTAAATCTATCCTTGAATTCAGAATTTGTGGCTGAGCATAAAGAGATGTCTGCAAATGTTATTAAAAAGGCATTCTTGGAAACTGAAGAGGAGTTTCTGTCTCTCGTAAAGCAGCAATGGCTTGAAAAGCCACAAATTGCTTCAGTGGGATCGTGTTGTTTGGTTGGGGTAATATGCAATGGACTTCTATACGTTGCAAATGTTGGAGACTCTCGTTTGGTGTTAGGGAGAGCAGAGAAGTCTTCTAAAGGTGTGACTGCTATTCAGTTATCAACGGAGCACAATGCAAGTATTGAGTCTGTGAGAGAAGAGCTTCGTTCATTGCATCCTGATGATTCACAGATTGTGGTTCTAAGACACAAGGTTTGGCGCGTGAAGGGTCTCATACAGGTAAATTTTCCCAAGTTACTTTATTTTTATGTTCTTTCACATACTGTTGTAGCTTTTCCTGGTCAGTTGATAATGTAGCTTTGCATATTATATTCGAATTTGTCTCTAACAGCAATTGAACTGACAAGTACATAACCACATCATTCTTGAAGTGGTTCAGGAGTTCAAAAATAAGACCAGATGTATTTATGAGGGAATGTTTTAGAGTTGACATTGTTCACCCTGTTTGGTTTCGTTTTATGAAAAAATTGAAAGAACTGATCATTTTCATGTGATTTTTTTTTTTTTTAGTTTGGGTGGTTGCTCCACATCGGTCATTAACACCCAGAAAGATCTTTATCAGGATTCAGGGTCTCAAGTTATAGGATAGAAAAACCATTCATCATTCTTTATTTATTTCTTTTTAATTCCAACACCAAATTGCTTCCAAGAACCCAAAACCAATGAGATGACAGGAAGATGTTTGCTTAGCACTACCATAACAAATTTAAAAACTGGAGGTACATTACAGGTATATTGATGTGGCATAGAAAAAAAATGTAAAACAGAACAATTGTTTATTCATGAGCACCTCTAACACAGGACAAGTTCATCGTGCCACAAGTGAGAAAAATTTTTAGTTTCTTCAGACTAGCGTCAGCTACAATTTATTTCGGCAACATAACTTTCTTTTTATTCATTTTATTGTAACTTAGAAATACAAGACAGAGTATAACAAAATGCATACTTCAAGTACGTGCTAGCTTTCTGGGCATTGCCAAATGTAGGTGTTTCAACAATATTAGCAAAGTTTAACTAACTCTGGTTTAACTTGCCAGCCCTATCATCAAAGTAAAAAAGGGATAAGGCAGCTAATTATATCAATAATAAAGAAAGGAAGGGGCTAATCCAAAGGCCTTCTCTCACATGTGTCACTGTGATGACAATGGGTGAAGGAGGGGCTACCAATGCAAGTTTTTTTGACTGCCCAAATAACTAGTCTCCCTAAGTAAGCTAAAAAAGAATAAAACTTAAATTGTCCAATGATTCCTTTATACCAACTCGAAGACAGATAGCTGAACCTCACTGAGTAGCCAAAATTGATTACAAGCCAAACCAGCAAAAGAGCAAATGATGTTTCTGAAGGAAAGCACCAAGCTGTAGTGTAGTAACAGCAACAGTGCCATATAGTGATACAAGAGGGTTTCAGAAAACCCAATCCCAAGCCCGGAGAGGGGGAAGAGGTTGTGGTACCAAAAAGCCAACATTAAAACGTAAATCAAATTATGTTTGTAGTGACAACAGATTGAAGAGTAAAGTGGGGGAAATGGCCCATTGAGATGGCTTTGCCCTTGTCATTGTAGGTTTAACTATGCATAGGCATTAAAAGAGTGACTCGGCAATTCAAAATTGAAGGCTCCAAAACAATTACATGTGTCAGCCAAGTTTGGACTTTTTAAGGTCTTATCAATATTATAGCTTCCATACATTAGAGTTAGCTGGAGAAGATAAGACATACGAAGCAACCAATAGGCAATTGGCATAAGGCTTGTTGAGTGACTGGAGGCAGATAGATTCTATACTAACCGTTTTTTGGACCTAATCAATGGCTTTGATCAGCCCTCACCATCGTCCGATTGTCCATTATCTAGTTAACTCTTGATTCGTCATAGGCTGCATTGGTACTTTCAATCAGAAATCTTACAAAAAAGAATACACATCCAGTAAAATGAATTTTACACGAACATAATGTAGGCTTACCACTTCCATAACATTCAAGAATTAAACCATGCAAAAGAATTTTTAAAACATGAAGCAGGTTTTCATTAGTTCATAATATGACAGTTAGGGCCCCTCAAGATTGATCCTAAACAGGCCATTCCTAGTTCTAGGTGAACTAATCATAGACCTATTCCTTCAGCATTAATCGCAGAGTGATCCTACCCAGCTGCACTTCACTTCAAACCCTTGTTCTCAACTCTGTAGTGCCAAGCTTTTACCATCTTTACTAGTTTTTTAGAGGCGGTTTTGTGACAAGTGGCATAGTTTAGAATGTATTAATGAAGCCAACTACCTCCACTTGCCATAGAAATCAAAAAAAGTAATTGAATGTTTTGCTTGGAATGAATTTAATTCTTTGTGAGTAGACCAAAATATTCTTCTTCTTTTTAGTAAAAAAAAAAAAATTATCTATTGTTTAACTTTTTTAGGTCCATTTTCGACGTATACAATTTTTAAAAATTTATGAAAAATTTAGTCAAACTTTTACAAGTGAAGGAAGGAATCAATCAACTCATGGGAAGATCTAAGGGATGTCTCATATTGATTCTTTAGTTGGAGGTAAGCTATAGGATTATGACCAAATTCTAGAGCCAGGCTCGCAGAAAGTTGCACTCACCCAGACTATGATCTACAGTCAATTTGCTGGCCCATTATAGCAAGTTCCACAACTCTTATTCAGCAGTCAAGGCATACTGGTTGCCAACATTTTGGTAATTTATCTCTTAAAAATAAGCCTCATCTTTTGGAAGGGGAAAAGGAGGACTTCATATGTTTATATTAGGTTGAGGTCATAACTGGTCCATGCGGAAAGGAATATAATAGGCATGCAGCTGAAAATGTTCCCAAATTGGGAAACTCAGAAAAAAATGGAGAACTTAGTGCAGTTTTGAAGTTGCCAATTAAGGAAAATTCCACTACCTTTGAATTAAAAGCTGTGGCCTTTGCGTTATATCAATGTGACATCAGTTAATTAGTGTGAAGTGTTAGTGTTCACCTCAAAGAAATCAGAGTACTTGACCTCTACAAGGGCGGCCAACATCTAACATAGTCTTTGGTGAAAGCTAGAATAGTGAACCATAAACCTGATTTGCGCTAATTGTTTTGGGCTCTGTTTCATCAGTGCTTCTGTTGCTCCCAGTATCGAATAATGTTTGACTTCAAAAAAAAAAAAAAAGGCTGTTTGGTTATGGATTGCAGGTCAGTTTACTCAAGGGCCCAACAAACTGAATATTACACGGCCCCCCCCCCAAAAAAAAAACCCCACCCCCCACCCCCCACATTTATATTTCTACTCAAGTAAAGGAAGGTACAATCTTACAGAAGTAGAGCTTCTTCAAATAAGTGAACAGACCAACCAAGGCCAACAAAAGGACTTGAAGAGGACAGCAGCATGTTGTCCTGCATCATTTCATGAGAAATTAGCCTTTATTCCTCCAATTGATAGGCCTGGATAGGCAC